GAGCAGTTAATCCCCTCCCCCAAACCTGTGCATGACTTACTTCCAAGGAAACCGTCCCGGGGTGGGTCCGGCTGCACCGCTTCTCCAGGCTGCTGCTGCTGCTTCTCCGGAGCAACCCCCACCCCACCTCCGTTCTCCCTCCCGGTGCAGAGGCAAAGCCCCCTCCCCGGACACGCATGCGCGGCCCGCACACACGAGGCGCAAAAGAGCCCCTCCTCTCTTCCGGACCCCCCCCCTCCTCGCTCGGCCTCTCTAGCAAAGGCCTCCGCGGGCTTAACCCTTGCAGTGCTGCAGACAAATGCAAACTGCGTCCTCCTTTCCACCACGCCCCGTGCGGCTCAGTGGGGCTGCTCAATGGGAGTTGCTCTGCTGCACGGGGGGGTTGGAAAAGGAGGCTGAAGAAGCTGGAACAGACTCTCTCCGCTCGCAGCCCCAGCAGGGACCGAAGGGGAAAGTGGGGAGTCCCCGCCCGGGGCGGACGGGCAGCTTCTCTCCCGGTGTGTCTGCAGGAGTCCTGCCTCGTGAGGCGCCGCTGAAGGCCGCCCGGCTGCAGTCCAGTCCCGCGGCGGGCTCCGGGCGCTGCTTTTCTCCACGGGCAGAGCAGGAAGCCCTTTTCCCTGCGTCTGCGGCCCTGGAAGGGTTAAAACCGCCCCGTCCCGAGCTAGAAGGGGGAGGATCTTTGCCGGGGGTGGGGTGGGAAGGGTTTGCTTCCGAATGGAGGGAGCGAGAGTAGGCAGCCACGTGTTTCTGTGTCCTCCTGTGGCTATCCTGTGTGGTGCAGCCAGGAGAGGCTCCCATTAGCACGTGGCTCTTCTGTTGCGCCTCCCCCCTCCACACACCCATGACAACCTGTGGCTTCAAGGAATGGATTCTCTCAGTGGCAGTTGCTAGGCAACCACAGCATTGGGAGTAAAGGGGGGGCAGGGTCCTTTTCAGGGAAGTTTTGGCCTTTGAGGGAGGATTCATAGGGGCCAGGCCTGCCAGGGTTGCCAATTCCGGGTTGGGGAATTCCTGGAGATTTGGGGGTTGAGCCCTGGAGAGGGCAGGGCTTGGGGAGATAAGGAGCTGCAGCCGGACATTATTCATTTACTTTTGCCATTTTTTGTCCACCGTTCTCCCTTGAGCTCAACAAGGGTGAATAGGACCCAGCAATTCAGATCAAACATGCAAAAAACACATTGCTGAACAAGTTCACAGTATAATGAATAAACAATGAAGATACTGCTTTAATTGTTGTATTGTTTCAACAGCTGAATGGCATCAAGAGACCAAAGTCTCAGCACAAGCAGGACGAACTTTCCCAGGCTTGACTGTCCGTTTCGACTTTGCGTCTTTATCAAACGTCAGTTTGTAGTTGTTTGTTTGCAGTACATGGTTTTCAACAATATGTGCATAGTTTCAAAGGTGGCTACTTCAAGCTCTCACAATCAACAGTTCCCTTCTGGATAATGCATTTGTCCTGCTTGTGCTGAGACTTTGGTCTCTTGATGCCATTCAGCTGTTGAAACAATACAACAATTAAAGCAGTATCTTCATTGTTTATTCATTATACTGTGAACTTGTTCAGCAATGTGTTCTCCCTTGAGCTCAAGACAGATGACACAAAGTGAGTCAATATAATCAACAAGATGGGGGCATTCAAGAAAGAACACAATAGGATTAGGGTTGTTGAACCAATCAGAAATCGAAAAATAGGACTGTAGTAAAGCATAAGCCTGAGATAATAAGACATGAATTACAAATCTGACTAGCACAGTTTTTCCTAGTCTGCACAAAGCCAGGAGAGTGGGTGCAGGCCTGACTTCCTCAGGTAGGCCATTCCTTAAGGCGGGGCCACAGCAGAAAAGGCACAGGTATAGGCAGCTGTTGATTTTTGCCTATTTGCATGTTGGAACCTGCAGAAGACCTCACTCCAATGAGTGAAGCTGTTGTGGCAGCGCAGAGGGGAAGAGGCTGTCTGGAAAATAGGCGGGTCCAAGGCTATGAAGGGCTTTCTGTGTAATCTCCCTATATAATAATTGTGGTTTGGTGGTGGCACTCTCCAGAACATTCCACACACTCCCAAATCAGTTGGCTCAATGATCTGCCACTCAGAACGTCTCCCTATCCACTGGCTGCGTTGCCTGAGTCCCGCCCAGCTGCCACTCAAGAGTACTCGCGTGCCAGTGGCCGGGTGCTGGGTCTGCTCCTCTTCTCTGCCCAGTCCTTCAGCCACTGTGCCCTGTCAGAATTACTGGAAAATGGCTCTCTCTCGACGAAGACGCTACTCCTGCTTGCCTCCTGTGTGGGACTAACTTTTCTCTTAGTGGCTGTTGGTAGGATCCTGGCAAACAGCTTTCTCTCTTGACGAAGACGCTTCTCCTGCTTGCCTCATGTGTGGAACTACCTTTTCCTTCAGTGGCTGTTGGTAGGTGTAACAAAAGGGCAGTTACCTGTGTCTGTAAGATGGCTGCCGTCTGTGTGTTTAAAATGTTCCCCCATAAGGTTTAATTGAGCTGTAGTTCCAGAGAGGGGCCTGCAGCGGTATCACTCACTGGGTTGAATGGGACTTCCTCAACTACTGGCCTACATTTCCCAGCTGCCCCAAGGCCAAAAAGTGCGGGAAAACAGGGACTGCCCCAAGGGGTAGGGCGGCATCAATGTAGACTCCAGCCCATCCAGGGAGGAGGCAGTCTTTGTCCCTGGGAGGCAGCAGATATTCAGCCACCTCATAGTTGGCTGGACTGGGCAATGAATGGAAGTTTTCCAGTCTCTCTTGGGCAAGAGAGAGAGGCTGAAGCAAAGTCAGAGGCCAGTCCAAGGAGAGATCCTATCCTGAGCCCACAACCTCCAGAGGCAGAGAGTATTGTGTGCAGGAAAAGAGGACTGCATTTAACCCCTGTTGATTTATGGCCTGTTGGTTCATGGTGTGTGCTTACTCCTACAGTTGTGCCTTCTTTATTTAGTGCATGTGTGCTCCATAATTGTGTAAAAAGTTAAATATATTCTTTTATTTGGGCTAATAATCTGTGTTGTGCTCTAACCACAGAGTTTCCACTGCTCTGCAAAATACCAAAGGGAGGGGGTAGCCCAGAGAAGCAAGAAAAGGCCAGACCCTTGGGTTGCCAACTTTCCTGGGATCCCCCAAATATTGGGGATTCCATCTCCAAATAGGGAGATTCGGGCAGAGGGGTCTCACTGTCCCTCTAAAAAGGCAGTGACCATTCAGTGAGTGGTGGCAGCGTACTCAAAGAGTGAGATACGCCCACAGGATGAGGGTGGGAGGTGAACAGCTGAGGTATAAACTGGAGCCCGTTTCGCCACAGTAGGGAACCAAGCGATGGATGGTGAATGGCGATCCAGCAATCCAGCGAACATGGCGGCGGCTGACGGCGAAAGGCAGCAAGCGACCCGGATGGTGATTGGCCTGAAGGGCGCAGTGATGGGATGATGCAGCGTGGTCGGAGCCTATGAGGACGAAGACCAGCCGCTGCAGCCGTCACACAGCCGCGCACCGCACGGACCGTGCCTGAAGGAGTCGCTGCGAAAAAGATCAGACCTTCACCAAGAAACGGCCTGGAGACCGAAGATCCCTCCACGGAAGGAACAACATAGAAGAGCTC